TAAGAAGGGTAGCCAAAATATGGGGGTGTTACCATATGTAATAGCTAAGAGTGAGTCAAAGACAGACAGAATAGAGATGGGGCGGGGCAAGTCCAAAACATGTGGGTGAGATTAGTTGGTTCTAGGTGACATTCATCACAAGAAGGATCAGTGCTAGCATAGATGCGAGTTACTTTACTCCACAAATAGTGCTGCATTGACCCATTTCAAAAGTGACAGCCAAACCTCGGTCTCTATTTCTATGTTGACATCTTCAGACCAATTAGTGCACTGGTTTAACGGTGGCTGAGGATTGGCATGTGAAGGGAATGTTGTATAGCTTTGAGATGGAATCTTTGAGGTAAGGAAGACCTAACCTCTTCTTCACATAGAAGACAGAGGAAGAGCTGGCTGACAGCAGCTTACACAGCCATTCACATGTCATTTAAACCATCCAAAAGATAAAAACTGATACAAATTCAGGGCCACAACCTTGATACTAACATACATATGTCGTCAACAGATTCTTAGCAATTCTGCAGTTACGCTTCTTGTTGAATGTACACAGACAGCCAAGGGGGTCCTTCCAAGATACCCTTGTACAGCCAATGGGTGAGCCTTAGGGGGTTTACCAACAACACTGTCCGCAGAGTGAACTGCAAAGTGCATATCATGGCAAAGCTCACACAGGACACAGATTTTTCATTTCACTTTCCCTTATAGGATTGAGAATAAAAAGCACTGAAACTGAGCCACCCTGTACCCAAACAAACTTTTAATATTCATTGACTAAAACGGAAGGTTTTGTCTGAAGGTAGGACCTCTCAAGTTCCTTCGACTAAGCATGCAGTTAGGGTGGTACGGGGGCACACAACTTATTTACTCTCTTAGCTGTTGTCAGAGCACACAACAACACTATCTTGATGGATAACAGCCCTTGTCCAATGGGTATAAACTGGCAATTTCTACTGAAGGGCAGAGGAGTGTACCACAGGATGCAGCTGCCTCAGTCGAACTCAGTGGAGGGTGGTTAAAAATAAACTCTCTCCAAACCCCACATGACAAGAAGAGATCACTGATGCATACACCTCAATAGTGGAATGTGACAGACAGGAAACAGAGAACAGAAAAGACTGGGTAGCTCTTGGGGTCCACTCCCTCTCTTCACACTGCTTCTGAAAACCCAGCCATTTGCCTTGTAAACAGAAATGGCTGACTGCTTTCTGGGATGTTTCTCTATCACTGCTGGAGTCAATCCTAGATGGAGCCTTTCCATCTCAGGATCCAAGCCTTGAGAGGCTGCTCCAAAGGTGAGCACTGTGCCAGTCATCCCATTCACATGTGACAACAATCACCAGTATTGGGGATTTTATCTTACATTAGCAACAATACCTCAACATATAAGACTGTTGTTCAGTCCAAGAGGTTGCAGGTGGTTTCCTTTTTCCTTTTCTACAGAATCAAATAGAGGGCTAAATGTGCCTTTTTAGCCATGTTCCAAGAAAAAACATTTCTATTCTGAAGGGTGGGTGATCTAGAGTAGGTAAGGAGTGGGTGTTCTGTTATGAGGCATGGCAGTCTAAGGCTGTCACTTCTCTGCCATGCTGGATTTGAACTGACTCGGTAATAGCCACCTTTCTGGTTCTTTTGATCACCAAAAAGTCAGGACAGAGCTGGACACCCAGGAAGACCTCAGCATACATATAGGGACTCATACCTGCCAGACCTGAGATACTCCAATAGTAGTTTTGGATGTGACAGTAGGTACAACTGTCATTTCAGCAGCATCTCAGCCCCTGTATAAGAAACAGTTTCTGGGTTCTGCTGATACCTTTTCCTGTCGTTAGAGACATACCAAAATGTGCCTAGTTGTAATTGCTAACGTAATCACAAAGAAGATATTGTTACATGCTGTTCCATGTCCTTTGTTCTCCTTACAGAAAGTAGCCTTTGTACACCAGGACACAGGTGAGAGGTCAGGGGTACGTTGCAGATGCTAATACACAGTGACAATGCACCATTGAGAGGATGGATGCCATGGCACAGCATGTCAGTCTTCCTGTTCACTCGTGTAGTCTAGGAAGTTGGAGATGGAGGCCATGATTGTCATGTACCCTACCAAACTTGCTGGGAGACCAGTCTAAACAGGAATAGGGCTGGTGTCTCATGCATAGGACCAGACAGTCCTGAGAACAACTAATACACACAGCTCTATGTCCTTACCAAATATGGAGCTCCATCATGTGAAGACACTTGAAGTCAAATCATTGCTTGCACCTCATTGAAAAGAGGGCTTGGCAGTCGACACATGATGCTGGCAGAAGAATACTCAGGAGTAGTATCTGGTAGATACTGAATGTCTGAGTTATGTGTGCATAACCTGTATTGGTGTGTTTTTGCAACTAGAGATTCCTCGTAAGACAGACCTTTTGGTAACCTGGAGTTGGATACAGACTTTTTTCTCCTGCTAACTCTCAATCACGAGTACCATTTTAAGTTGAGTAATGCACCTTCTTCCCAGAACATTATAAATGTCATTTAGGATGTACTATTAAGTGATTGCATTGTTTTATTAAACTTGAATTTGACATTTTTCTTCACCAGACATTTGTCACCTTGTGGGAGAAAAAGTGTATTCATTTATGCTTGAGTTTCTTAAAAGTGAATCATTTATTACAGTATCTTGTTTGTCAGCATTTACTTGACAACTGGAACAATTGTGTGGAAAACAGACATTTCTGGTGAAGGTTGACATGCATATGAAAGAACTCAGTAACTAAAATTTGAAATGTAAAGGAGTTTTATCTTGTGGGATGTGGTGCCCCACTTGCAAACACATCCAGTCAGCTAACTCATGTGTAATAGATTACAGTATTAATGGTTGGTGTCTAGGCCATGACCTATATATAAAATGTTACTTATACAAGAGGCAGCATCTAAACTTACTTTCACAATTGCAGCTGCAGTTTGTTTTCAGATACCCACGGAAAAGGCAAAGCTTATCTTTAAAGAAGCAGCAACTTGATGCGACAAGAAACAGTATAGACAGTATAAGATGTAGGAACGGCTATACCCTGAGTGCTAATGTTGAATTCAAGGCCACTGCTCCTGACACACCTAGAGAGGTGATACCAGGCTCACTTGGATCACAGGTTGCAGCACGTTCCGTTTGAATCCACCTCGCTCTCGTCTTGCTCCTCGTCTATTCCTGATGATGAGCAGCTTGCCTCATCCCTTTGATGTTCACTTACCGATGTATGCATTTAACATTCTCTTATACAATCAGCATCAAAGGTACACGCCCACGCACGGGCCTGGCACACAGCAACATGCATGCATGCACAAAGAGATCCACATACACAGTCTCACTCTCTTGAAAATGCACAGCGATGCACACGCTCATACATCACACAGGGGGGCAGGGATATTAAGAATTTAGCACAGTGTGACACTTTCACGGTCTAATTAGCCCCAGTGTTGCAGTAAACACGTCCCAATGACCCTCCAGTTCTGGTTACTCATTAAGTATGGATGGGGCTGAAAATGGCCAGAAACTCAGGGGCCAGCATCCACATTCACCCAGCATCATCTCTAAACAGAAATCAAACAAGGAAACCCTTTTCTTTGCAGTTATATACCAGTGTATGTGCATGTTGGGAAGGAGCATGTTACATCATTTTTGACTGTACTCATATATACACAAGGTTGCACGCACAGGTTCACAGGAGTGCGTAAAGCAGATTAAAGGAGCGCTCTACAGAGATGCTGCATGGTGTGTAGAGATACAGACAGCCCTGTTGCTTGCTTGCTTGCTGCTGCTGCTGCTGCTGCTGCTGCTGCCTTTGACGCGGTGATGGGGATTTTCCTCTTCCTCTCTCCCTCTCTGTTGCGGTAGCAGACGTGGCCAGCGAGCTGTGATCAAACTGTGCCTTCATCCCTCCTCTTTCTTTCTCGCTCTCTCTCTCTCTCTCTCCCTCTCCCATCAGCTGGAGGGCTTCAGCAGCAGGGTGCCCCAGATTCACAGACCACCTCCCCCCCTCCCAACTAGTGCAGAGGCTGCTTCCTCTGCACTGTGGAGCACTACTGACACCTTCTGGACAGAAACGTGGTAGTGCAATGGGGATGTGCAAGCAGGGCGTATTTGGTGGTTTGATTGGTGGATTTTGAGATACATTCTCTTTCGTAAACTTCACGGTGTTCACCTAGTGTGACCATGGGGTAAAATATAGCCAATAATATTTATGGAAAACTCCAGTTTGGATTATAAAGCTTTACCTAAAGTGGAAATTGAACACATTAGCCATTCCAATTGATTCATTTGAATTTCTGGCTACACTGCCGCATCTGATCAATATTCCCAATAGATCAATCAATGGTTGCAGTGGTTTTGCATGAGGTGTCTGCAGAGGCCCGAGGCCAGGCGGATGGAGGGTGAGGGGCAGAGGGGGTACAAAATGGTACATCAGCGTCGATCCTGAATCGATACCAGTATGTGGTGTTAATCTACTGAGTGTCCCTCTGGCAGAAGTGACTGAAAGGTTGAACAGCACAGCAGACCAAAAAGCCATTATCAAATAGGACTAGCTCAGCATGTTTCTTCCAAATAAGCCACTTTTTTTATTGTCACTAAGGAGTGAAGCCTGGGTTCAGCGAACCTCAGGGGTGACTTTGGGTTGAGCACTGTCAGGGACTTTCTCTCTTTGTACACTGGAGTATTATATAAGATTGAATCTAGCCTTTTTTGTGCATGCTAGGCCAAATCCAATAGGATACTTAAGTTCTATGCAAAGCTCAGATATTTTTATCCAAAGCTCTTAAGTTCAAAAAAAGGAAATTAGTTTGAGTCAAGCTGAGGAGTGCAGGTTGATACTATAATCACCTAAATGCATGGGCGCTTCTTCTTTTTTTTTTTTTGCTGGAAAGGCAGGCAGAAAGCACAGCAGAAACACTGTTCCACTCAAGTTAACATTCCCTGCTCTCATTTACATATAAACAACTGTATATGTGCAGGTTTGACTCTCTTCAAATGATACAAACAAAATCTTTAATCAGCTGTACATGCATTGGCACAACGGGACAGGTTCCCTTTTTTTTTTTTACCTCTAATGCAGAAAGGAACCAAAATTCATTTAAAAAAAGTTAAAAACAAAGCAGAAATTAAAAACAAAACTTCTAAAGTTCTACTCAGTGAATGCCACATCAGGCTTCACAGACACTTTATGTTCATGATATAATGTTGCATCACCTCTCCTTACAATACTATTGGCAGGTAATACTTTGAAGTATGTATGCAATGTTTAAAAGAACCATAAATACAACACACAGCAACATCCCCTCCATTGTATCAAGCGTCATATACAAAAACAAAGAAGGTTCGATTGGACGGATTGTACACACACAGAAATACTCCTTTAACCTTGCTTTCTCATTGTACTGTTAATACGTCAACGTTGAGGAACATTTTTACTGACAGCAAGGAGGAAGACAAAAGAGAATAAGGAGAGAGAAGTGACAGTTGAGGGGGGGGGCACAGGGAAGAAGAGAGGACGGGAAACAGGAGATATTTTAGATTTTTCAGAGGTGTGACATTTACACTGCAGGAATTAATAACCAATCCTTTCAGCTATTATATTCATAGCACACACACAACATGGGCCGAATAAAGACAAAAAAACCTGAAAAATGGCACGATGAATTACAAAAATCGGAGGCAATGTGGGCCTGGATCCTGCCTTCAATGATAAGTTGTAGGCACTGTCAGACGCATGGCAACACGACAGGAGACAGAGGGAAGAGTCACAGTGAAGGAAACACAAAACATACACTCATCTCTATATACAGGGCACCTCCGATTACTGTATGCTTTTAAACACAGTTCAATGTTTTGCTTAGTGCATGGGGTTGGACTTGGTTTGAACTTAAAATATCGCTGTGAATATTACACTAAAACATCAAGACATCAAGAAATCATTTAGTACAGTGGCTCCCCAAGTGGGTTTCAACAAAACCCTGGGGTTTTCATGGAGAATAGTTTCATCTCATTATGTTCATAATATAATCATTTACTCAAAATTGATTAATCATTCTGCATTTTCATATTGACACTTGTGCAATTGCTTTTACTAAATCAAACATTATCTCAAATGGGCTCCCAGGGGATCCTAATACAGAATTATTAGGCTCTATGGAGCATGAAATTTCAAATTTAACGGGTGCATCTGGAGAGGCAAATGAAACTCACTGGTGACGGCATCCTCACCTGGATCAGGGTTTCTCACTCGCTCGTTCACTGACCCGCTTCAGTCCTCTGGGTGCTAACACAGTACAGAGTAAGGCTTCACTGCATTGATATTCACACTTCGGGAGTTTTTTTTATTTTTATTTTACCCCCATTAGCCTAGGCATCGTCTTGTCTCAGAAAGGCACGGCGACTGAGCTCTGCGGTTCACAGTTCGCTACTGCTCCGGTTCTTCGCCCTTCTGTATTTTTTAGCAGCACTTTGCATTGTCTCCTTTCCAGAGAAAATGACACTTTGTGACCTTGTCAATAATATCAACATACATACATATTTACAGAGAAGATCGTCTCCTTAGACTCGAAGCGTCAGTTGATATTTGTTTCTTTTTTGTTACTTATACGCAGAGGGAGTAAAGTGAGGTGTGTGTGTGTGTGTGTGACTGTACATATGGCAAGAATGTAGAAAGATACCACACGGAAAGGAGACAAATAGAAACACAGCAGAGATGATGGTCTTTTCCTATATGTGTGTGTGTGTGTGTGTGTGTGTGTGTGTGTGTGTGTGTGTGTGTGTGTGTGTGTGTGTGTGTGTGTGTGTGTGTGTGTGTGTTTCATTGTGTTTTTACGAGTGTTTGATAGTGTATTTGCCTTTCTGCAGCTGGGAGATGTACAGCTTTGACTTGGTGCCATCCAGCCGTTTGAACCACACCTCATCGTTGTTGACGGTGGTGATGATGGCACTGCGTGACACAAACATACAGCAATGTTATCGCACAATCAATTTGTGTTCCTCAGAAACAACATAGAGGGTGTGCACGTAACAATCACTGTCACGGTCACTCCACCATGAGAGGCAAACAGTCAGCAGCCATCAAGTATTTACGTGGGAAGATTAACAAGGAAAACTCTTGCTTAAGTGGTAAAGAGATATTGTTTTCACAGACAGCCAAAGGCTAAAGAGAAGAGAAGCAATCTTTTCTAAAAGGCTGAGTAACATTAACTAATGACACCTGATTGAAACATGTAATAAAATCTTTTACAAACATGATCACAGACATCCTGAATATCATTAGAAGCTTGTGAATGTGATTAGGTTGCCAAATATGACCAGGGGCAAGGAGGCTCGATGTGTAAACAATGAAAAACATGAATATGCCACTTCTTATACACAAACTGCGATCAAAACCAGACCTCACACCGTGCACACACGTATTCTACAGCATTAAGAGGGTGATTAAGGTGGAGATGAAAAATACAGTGAGAGACAGAAACTAAAAAAACAAAACAAATTATTCTAACAGCCACGGACTGTGTAATACTGTTTTGCAGTACACACAGCGTTCTGTAAAAAGCAGGTATATGTTTTGTGTGATCAACAGCAACTACTTCCCTGTGTTTAGGTCATTCAATTCTATTTTAAAACAGTGTAGCTCTTGGTGGTTGAGAAATAACTTCTCAATTACTACTACAGGTACATGAAGTAAGTAATTTCCCCACGGGATTATTAAAGTATGTCTGATTCTGAAATAAATGACTGAAATGGGTGGTGTAAACAGCCACAGCCATGCAAAAGGTTTGGATACAATGACAGATACTGTGGTACTGTTGGAAAACCTTGTCGATGGGACCGAACTGTATAGCAGTACTTTTCACTGACAGGGCTTTAAAATAGTGTAACAGGCAATGGTATTTTAATGCACAAATGTCATGTGTACATCCATGTAGGGCTTACTGTGGGAGTGGAAATGAGGCTTGTGCATGTGATGGAGATTTATAAAAACAGAAGCATATGTGTTCACAGCTACATAAATCTGACAATAACAGTTCTGTCTTTGTGACATAGACTGTGCATACTGTGTGGGGGCGCTGTGAAATAATCAGACAATAACTCTACCACCACTCCCTCCTTAGCTCTCGCACTCCTACCCTGGCCTCAAATGAACGGGAGGCCCGGTTGTGTTTGCATTCTGTTAGGTTGAGATCTTGTGAAGGAAACTTCATTTCTGGCTACATTTTATTGTCCACCGACTGTCTGGTACTAATTCATAGCAGCCGCCTGTGTGCATCTGCGTTCCCACTGTCAGTGCTGCACTGTGAGAAAGTGACTGATCAATGCATGCCCTCTATTCACTGAGCAGCCTGTCCTGACAACACACAGGGCAGGATGCACAAAGAATCACAATCATTCAGCCAAATACTCACATAATCTCTTTGATTAAAATCCATCTATGATCAAACACATACTCAGTCACAGACTCACACAATGTGCCAGTACACACATCATCTAGAGCAATAACTCATACATGCTATAACCAGAATCATCACTCCCTCTCATTATTACAGAGCTTTTTAACTCTGCTCACACACACACACACACACACACACACACACACACACACACACACACACACACACACACACACACACACACACACACACACACACACACACACACACACCTAGTCGGGTACTCGTCCTTCCTGTTGATGCAGATGGCCTGCCCCCTGCAGTACCACTGGTTGTCATAGAAAAGCCGACCGTCCTCGGAGCGGGCCACATGGTGATGTCTGTCGGGCTTGACTGCAGGGACTGGAGGCAGAGAGAGTGAAGACGACATCAGTTGTCGAGGAAGTGAGACAGGGACGGTGCAAGTTTAAAAGAAACACAGCACAGAGTATAAAAAGAGAGGGACAAAGACAGATGAGGAGAGGAACATTTGTCTCCTTTTCAACTATGAACTTGAGCACTTTTAGCTGAAAGTATTGAGTCAACCCCTCCTGTGTGAGTGCGGGTCGATGGCTGCACTCAGCCAGGTATTGACTGTAACCAAGGATGAGGAGAAACTCTTACCATCCACCTTCACCCTGTGTGGCCCCAGTGATGCCATCGCCTGTGGGGGGGGGTGGGGGTGGGGACAGACACAACTAAAAAGGTCAAATCACATCACAGACACATTCACAGAGAGACAACTTTGTTTGTTTACAAAATACCTTTCTTATAGCTGTCCAGTCTTCAAGAATATCGAGATCTTGCAGCATGTAGACGATATAAGGCCGTAATAGAGTGGTTAAGGAAGAATCTGTCTTAACAGTACATCAGTGAAGCGCTGCAGCAAAGTGTGGTGCACATGAATGATGGGAGGAATAAGGCAAGGACAGGACAAAGGGAAAAGGATATCGGAAACAACAACAGGCTTCTTCTTCTTGACAGGGCAGAATGGGTCCTTCTTCTTGTTTTTCCGCGAGTGCAATCCATCATTCCACAACTCTGGAAGAGAAAGAGGACAGGTTAGAGAGAGGAGAGTCGCTTCCTTCTGTAGGATATTCTCTTCACGTTTCAATTTGTTTTATAGATCACTTATTATTCATCAACCCTACTAACTGTACCCGTATTGTAGGCATGTTAGTGCTTCTTAACTTAACATTTAACTGACAGGTTCAACAGCTGACAGATTCCAGTTTTGATTAATTGTTATACTGATTGTTCTAAACATCCAAATACCAAATATTTATTTACTGATGAACAAAAATGAATGTGAGGAATGCTTTACTCTAGTTCCTAACAATAAGAACTGAATACTATGGACTTTATGGATGCTGGCCAGACTTTAGGATGTCCCTGTCCAACCTCTGATAGATTTTATAAAGTAAATGATGAATGAATGGATCAAAACAATATTATTGTAGACAGCTGTTGGCTGCAGCCCTAGTTGGTACCTGAGGTAATGTCAATACTGTGTCTGTCTTCCTCCAATCGTCTTATCTTCTCCTCCAGTTCACTCTGCACAGTGTCAAACAGCAGCAACTTCTCACTCTGGGAGACAGAAACAAATAGTCAAAACACACTGGTCGGAAAACCACCATCAGAAATCATCTCCAGAAGCAGTGGACTAAATTCAGTTTGTTTAGGTGGTGGACACTGTGGCGAAAGCCAAAGCCTCCAAAATTAAAGTGGATTTCCTACATTGTAAAGGCAGAAATCTGGTTGGACAAAATGTGTTGTGTGACGTGAACATGCAAACCTAACCCTCACATAAGCTCTGACTCATTCGTTGACCTCTCACCTCCCAGTGTTGGCAGGCAGCCTGGATCTCACACTCATACTTGTTCTTCACTGACTCCAAGCACAGCTCCCTGTAGATCCCTGTCACAAGCATTTAAACATTAAATCAATCTGACACAGGCAGCAGGAAAGATGATACCTTTTTTAATCTCATGGTCTATATAGCACAAACACACATGCTGTGTTTAGCTCTTTTCCAATATAGTTCATTGTTTTGATGAACAAAAAACCTCTTTGTCATAGGTGGCTGACATGTAAAGATAGTCACTTCCAGATATATACTTAAGTATATTCCATAATATTATGGAATATTACATTGACCCACCAGCAACTTTGGTCCTGATTTGCATGTTCTCCTGCAGGTTGGCTAAAGGCTCCAGGTACTCTTGGGCACAGCCGGCCATTACCTCCTGCAGCTTGATGTCCACCTGGCTCAGACGCTCCTTGTACAGCCTGAAATAAGGAGGCAAAGCTCATCAAATAATGGACCTACACTGGCATGACTGTATGTGTATGTATTACACTGAGCTGAAGAATTTAACAATATCTTGTGTGCAACTTCCAAACACTGGTAAGAAATTTGAATGAGTTGCAAAAAAATCAGATTTCCCTACTCTCACTGGTCTGCAGAATGACAACATTGAGTGTGTGTGTGTGTGTGTCTCTTGAGAACAGGATGCTGAGAGAATATCCCAAGCAGCCTTGAAGTGCAGTGTTAGTTCAGAGCAGACAGCAGTAGGTGAAGGCTGGCTGGGTGGAAACAACTTGGGGAAGGAACTTACTGCTCCTTCAAGTCAGTGAACTGTTTCTCCAGGGTGGTCATCTCATCCAGGCACTCCATCCTCCTCCTCTCACAGTCCTCATCATCCATCTCTGTTCACATAAACACATGACAGCTTTGACTTCACCTCCCAATACCAACCACCATCACCGTCTACCATCATAGCATCTCCACCCCTTGCTGTACATTGTCTCCACCCCTCCCTGGTCAAAGTTTTCAACATTAACCGCATATCATGACAAAGCCAGGTCCGACAGATGTGACATTAATGAACTGAGCTGTGTGTTGATATTTAAGGCCTATTTTTTCCTACCCGAGCTGTCTCCATCTTCAGACACGGACGAGCTGACGGTGTCCTCCTCGTCCGTGCTGCTGCCGTCTTGCTCGGGAAAATCCACCTCCATTTCTTCGTGGTTGCTTTCTTTCTTCTCCCGGGAGTGAACCGGCATTGCGACGTCCAGATAAGCCGGCGTTAACGTGGCGGAAGGGCTGTTCGGTAATTTCAGCCCCAATAAAAAGGTAAATGTACCTCAGACAGCTAACCGGTTAGCTAGCTCGCATCTAGACAGCTGGTAATACAAACATGGCCACCGCCGGCCAATCACACGGAGCTTTACTGAGTCTGTCCAATCAGATGTTGGTATGGTTGCTACGGAAAGAGTTTAGGGATTTGTAGTTTCTTTAACTTTTTCTGAAAACGAACACATAGGCCCTACTGTATGTGCAGGTATATACCTACATTGTTATGTTTTTTAGGTATATGGAAAGTCTGATGGCCTGAATGTAATGCTTTATTTACTTTATGCTATACTTTACATTTACGTGTTACTTATTATACATGTTAGACTCTTTAACCAACAGAATAATAATAATCAAATCATATAAATACCTTTATAGGGAATGTCATTCTTTTATTATTTTTTGTGAGGTGCCTTTATGAGGCCTTTTCTTTCTTATATCTTTTGATCTTACCAGCACAATTATGCTTATGATTTCATTCATGTGTTATGGGGTATTACTTTCTAAGTCGCCATTTTAAAGGTGTTGTAAGCTGTAACTAATAGCTTTAATAATAGTTAATACATCATTTTCTAATGCTTTATAGAGCTTTATATGGGCAGTGTGACCCTGGACATTCAGTACCTGAATTCAATAACATTCACAACTGCATACTGGGATTATTATATTGGGATATTGTTATTCCAGTGTGTAACATTTAGAAGGATCTACGTCCACCATTTTGAACCGACATGTTTAGTAGGCCCGAATGGACAAACCAAACACTGGCTCTAGATAGGAGTGCTCACATTTTGCATGAGTTTCCTAGCCACTGTAGTTTCTCCCACACAATGGACCTTCAGGAACCCATTATTCATTTTTATTAACATTTAGAACTGCAGATAACTTACGGTTTTGCTGATGGCTTAATAGAAAGCGACAAACACTTTCATCCTTCATTAATGATTTATTAACATTTAACATTAACAACTGCAACCTTGATGGTTTATTGTCCTTTATTGATTACTAACAGTTATTAGAAAACACAATCAATTACCATTCAAAAGGTAAAGATTTTGTACAACCTGGCCATCTGAAAGTTGTTGTTATTGATGGCTCCTAACTGATCAATAAAGCATTAGTAAATGGTTTAGTCTATAACATTAATCATTAAACATGAAGGCATTATTTACAATTTATATTTATAAAGGGAGGCTTATTAGAAAGTGGTAACTTTCTATGGATTATTGTCCTGTTACTAAATCAAGACTAAATCTACAGGAGACAATACTGTTGAAGATGTTGAGGTGGGTGGGTAGTATACCGCAGAGGAGGTATCATATGTGCTGACTGCTGACTCATGTGTTAGTCCTGCAGGTCCAGACTCAAAGATATTGAATACATGCTGTCAGTGCCATCATCACAGCCTGTCTGAGAACTTGAATACCTTTTTTTGGCACTGGAAGCAGACAGGAGCTTTTCACAATGAAGGCACCCTGTACAGCTGCAGTGATATGTTGAAGAGGTGCAAGAGAGCCTTTCTTAGCTGACTGGCAGATGATTCAAGCACCCCGGGGTTAAAGCTGTCACGACTTGCTGCTTGACTCTCTTCTCACTCACCTGGGTGGCATTGATGGACAGACTGAGGAGTGGGTGGAGGCTGCAGCTGTGGTGGTGTCTAACAGTGTGATGGACAGATGGAAGTGTGGGATTAGTTTATAGTGCTGGTGGTTCACACGTATATAGATATAACATTCATAAGTTTACTGAGTTTGAATCAGAAATGATTAGGAAAGAAGTCAAGAGAAAACAGTTCTAATCTTGTACTTCTTATATGTTTAACCTGCTTTTTGGGGTTTACTTAAAGCTGTATAATACACGCACACCACAGTGAGTATGGCCAGAATGTTAAATGAAGTTACATGCAAACACCAGTCATTTGACCATATAAATATCAATACATTGTGCCTGAAAACACCATAACCTGTATGAGGACCCCTCTGTATCTCTGGGATTATGTAAGGCTATGTAGCATTTTTAAAAGCAGAATTTTTCCTGTTCAAATCAGTTTGTTTTTAAAGACAGATATCTGCTCATATGTAGATTTATCCTAGATTTCCGTTCATACATTATTTGACTTATCACATAAAACATTTAGATTTGAATCTATTGTGCACACAGGGCTGGGGAATATAACTGATATATACTGATGATATATTTTTTTATTTACAGTTATTGTTGCAACGTTGTCCTGGATCTATTTTTTTCATTTTTGTTCTACAATCTACATATATCTGTATTTTTGTCTTAAAAATGTGTACATACCGGCGGTTAGCTCAGTGGGTAGAGCTGGCGACCCATGTACCGAGGCTGAGTCCTTCCTGCAGCGGCCCAAGGTTCGAATCTGACCTGCGGCCCTTTGCTGCGCGTCATCCCCTCTCTCTGTCCCCCTTTCCTGTCTGTCTTCAGCTGTCATATCAAAAATGTGTACATACTGTGATTTTAAAAAATCTATTCTGTACACACAAAATCTATTGCATTTGTGTCTGTCCTGCAAGAGGGATCCCTCCTCTGTGGCTCTTCTTGAGGTTTCCTCCATTTAAAGGGTTAAAGGGTTGTTTTTGAGGAGTTTTCCTTATTTGAATCGAGGGGTTGTTTTCTGTACAGACTGTGATTTGTGATACTGGGCTGTATAAATACAAACTGACTTGACTTGAGATTTTACCATACCATTTACACCTATAGGTAATTATGCTTAATATTTATGTATATTATACCATTGTTCTGTATGTAAATATTAACAACTGTTGTTTCAATGTAATAAAGTATCTTGGTTTTCCAGACATTTATTAGCTGGATTAGTAAAAAAAAAAAATAGTAATAGTAATTTCCTGTCTGATTATCCTACCTATAGTTTCTCAATTGATTTTCCAGAAAATGTACTATATAGCAATATAAAATTACATTTTCTTTGAGAGAGGACTTTATCCACATTGCATGCTCCTATTTGTGGGTATTTTTAGTGCATTTTATGCAACTGACAGGTCCACCGACGTTTCAACCACAAGAGGGCAGTAATGACCTTTGCTAGATGGTTGAACAATAGCTCCCAGTTCTTAAAGTTGAATCCATTCCTGAAGAGTAAAATTGATTCTAGGTCTGAAACTGGAAGAATTCATAACAATGATAAAATAGCAACTTTAGAGTCATCAAAGGAGCATGATTTAACACTGGATGTACGTATACATTGATGAATGAAAAGAACACAAATAATAAACATAAATGCTTTCTATTTTTGAATGCTCTAAAAATGCCCAGTGCTATCATTAATATGTTGCCCTATTCGCGTTTCATCTTGAAAAAATGAACATGAAGTCAAACCAATGTGGTTTGTCATCAACAGATAAAACAAGAAGCTGGAATTTTTTTTTTTCGGCAAAAAAGTTGACAGGGGACCTGCTCAGACCTCACAAAATGCACAAATGCATATGAGAATATTAAACAGTGAAAGATTTTGTTCAGTCAGTTTGCGGTTTGTCTTACAGCCTCACTATTTCCGTGGTGTGTTGCACAGTGCCAGTCAGATCCATTTTCACACTGCTCTAAGTGTGTCAGGAAACTTTGCTGGTCTAATTTGTAGGCTATTTAGGGCAGAACAGTGTGATTGCAGAAAGTCTGTGTTGTTTGTGGTTTATTTCATAATACTGAGCTTTTTTTTTTCTCATAGTCTCATACAGTCCAGACTGCTGACACATTGGGCTATCAATAAAGCTGCACACAAAGGAATGTAGGAGAAACTCAAGAATGAGAGTACAACCAAACAGTGAACCACAGTTTATGGTCAACTGGCATGTTTTCCAAGTCTCCTCCAATTTTATTACTTAAAGCTGTACTAAAAAGGCAGCCTGGAAGAAGTTCTAGCACAGTATTATTTGTATTGTCTTAACCACTTTGCATGTGCACTCACAGGACAGTCGGGATTGTGATAACAACATGTAATCAATGTAACCATACTTTCTTACACAGGCTGGGTGCCATACGTTTTATCTTTTGGTGTGATGTTAGTTCTGCAGTTTCAAAAATACTTTAACCTTTCAAACAGTTTCATATTGTTGTGGCTTCATTTGAAAGAGAGTTCTAAGAATCTTGGTGATTTATCTTTCACAACAAACCTAATGCTGCAATTCTTGACTCGACTTGCTTCCTACCATTGAAAAATTATTATAAAAAAACAAATTGAAGTTGGTCTCGGATGCTTTTATCTTATCTCCTTTGAACTACTGCAGCTCCCCCTATTCATGCCCAAAAATCACTTACATCTCTAGCTTGTTCAATATGCAGCAGCAAGTATTTGAATTGAGGCCAAGCAAAGTGTTTGTAAATCCCCAACATTAGCAGTCCTCCCCTGCTAACCACCTATAAAACTACATTCAGATTTTAATGATCATCTTTAAACCTGTTTAACTAGTTGCATTACAGAGCTGTTGGTTGTACATGTGCACAGATCCTCTGACCCTTGTGGCTTACTATTTCATTATCATCTTTAACTGCCTTTCGACGTGATTCTTTTCAAAGTTTCCACTGGGGCTGAGCAGGGTTTTTTCACAATATGATCACAATATCAGCTTAAAAGGGATGGGAAATCAGCTTATTTGCTTTCTAGATTAGAAAACCAATACCACACTTGAATGTATATGCTAAATATGAGGCTATAGTTAACAGCCAGTCATCTTAGCTTAGCATAAAGAAACAGGGGGAAACAACCAGCCTCCAAAGGTAAAGAATATTCTGCCTACAGTACTAGAACCTCTAAAGCTCATTAACTAACACGATATCTACCTAGTTTGTTTGATTCATAAGTCTAAAAACTACAATTTCTGGTTAGCTGTTGTTTTTATGCTAAGCTAAGGTAAGTGCTTGCTGACTCAAGCTTCATATTTACTGCTCAGACGTGAGAGTGGTATCGATCTTTTTATCTAACTTAGTGCAAGAAAGTAAGTATTTCCCCCCAATTGAACTTTACCTTAAAAAATTGAAATCTCAGAGACAAATCTCTCGAAACATCTGAAAAATAAAACCAAAATCTGAGTTGGA